TTCCTGTCGTAACGAAGGCGAATGGAGATCTATAGCACTCAGGGGTAGTCCACGCGATGAAATGAAAAATGTCGGAAAAACGTGTGCAGACATCTCTACTTTCATTCCTTTCTTCTTCAGCCATAAGAAACGATGTTTGTCGATTTTCTTTACGTTAGACAAGCATCTAAATGTTAGTGCCATTCACTGGCAAAAGGGCACACCTACTAGATTAGTATATAGTTCAAAAAGTGTGAATACGAAACCAAATAAAGTTACAAATGATTCGGTTTTTGTCATTATCACCTTAAACTGATATTGAATTCGAAGATGAAGAATTCTGAACAGCACTAGGCAAAAAAGGCGTGAAGTCACGCCCCAAGCCATGCCCCTTCAGTGACTTTTCTGTGTCCTCCTCCCTTTCCATTCAAATAATGTGTGGTATCCATTTTTAAGCAATCTTTTTAGTTAGGATATTTCCGAAGTCTTATTTCTAAACTAATGGTCTCCTAATCATTGCTTCGCTGTTTAGGTCAGCAATGATATAGACTTGAAACTATCTAATATAGTTAGTTTAGATTCTTAAAGGCGCAGGTCACAAAAATGCAGTCGTCGTTAGCTATGTGCAAAACAAAATCACCAAATTTACTATTGAAAGTCACAATAGTCAATATGCATAATCAGTCAGGCCTTAAATCTGTATCTTCAAGAAGTAATGTTTAAGCCTTCGAACGTTCTCCTATTTCTTTTAACATTCGAAAAATTTTCGACATTTCTGGTCGTCGAGCTGGATCTCTTTCCCAACATTGATATACTACCTCTGCAACGCTTTTTGGTGTATCCTAAAGAGCACATAAAATCTATTTGTCGAAATTTATGGTTTAGTTACCCTCGGCATTTCCATTCTGTAATTTTGTACCACAATTTTAGCTCTTGTTTGAAGTCTTGTTAAGCCGGGATAAGGTTCTGCACCCTCAGCGTAGATCTCCCACACAAGCACGCCTAAATTTTTTTTCTGAATACATCACTTAAATTTAAACGAATTTCTTGGATGTGTAGGTTTTTTTAAAAGTCCAGACGTAAGCTTGACACAAGGTCATCAATTTAGAATCCCCTCTCATATCTCTAAAAATGCAGCTATGCCTCTCTGAGGAAGGCCGAGGAATTTACTTACCGTAAGACCACACGTCTGTTTTGAGGGAATAGATTTTATCCTGCAATGTTTCGGGGGCTAGCCATTTTACGGGTACCTAAATTGTTCACCCTTCTATTTATAATTTTACTAAATTTCTAAGTTGAGCAGGAATCTACCTTTTCTAATGTGTCGTCATGAACTATAACTTTGTCGTCTGACATACCAAAATCCGAAATTTTTATCTCCTAAAAAGCTTGAAAATGCTTTTAATTTGACTTATTTGCAAACTTACAAATTTTGCACTCAGTAAGCAGTTTCTTGCTGCAATATCCCTGTGAATGCATAATTTCTTTTCCAAATAAGCAAGCCCATCAGATGCTTCTATAGCAAAACGTAATTTCTCCGACAATGGCACATTTCCTCTACGTTTTCTAAGATACGATACCAATGAGCCGTCTAAAATCAAGCGCTATTGATTTACATCACTGATCTAAGGATATCACTCGAATAAGTAAAAGTATTCCACCCACTTGGGCAAACCTCCATGACAAGCATAAGCGGATGTTCGTGGACGGCTACTCCAAGGATTTTTACCAC